TTTAAAATAATTAAGGATAAATCACTTTACAATTTTGGTTTTAAGTAAACACATCTAATACAATATTTAAAAATATGATTTAAATCAAGTTAATCTGAATCATAAGAAAAGCATATAATACTCTTGGATATTCCCTACACGCACCACAATTAATTCGCACAACCTTACTTTAAAAATGCGCGCCAAATCGCAACAGCTGCGCTGTCTGCAATAGGCCCGTGACTGAGGAAACAAACTTAGTCCCCCGCCTTTTAACATTGAGTGAACCGGCCCTGCTGTTTATCAGCCTTCGAAATGGGGTCTTCATCTCCTGGAACCCACTTGATAGAAACCTTTCTCTATTGCAGTTCTTTCAATATTCTGCCCATACTCGCTTCTCTTATCCAAGTTTTATTGGCAATACTTTCACTGTTACACGATTGCCAGCCAAAATGAGGTTGTGAATGAGGTGCACATGGCCTGGAGATTGTGAAGAACGTGATATCCTTCTGCGCAGGAAATCCTGAGTATTTGCTTGGCCTAATTCACCAGATAATCTGAAATCCCACTGACTAACTATACAACGATCAACAGTATCACCTTCATACACTTTTTAAACCTCTTGTGAAGTATTATTTTATTTATTTAATATTGTATTAGCATGTAGGTCATTAGCGAGCACTAATGCATTTAACGGTATGGTAACTAGGAAGATGACATGATATGGTGATAATAAGGGGGTGAAAGGACGAACTCAAATACAACCATGCCCGAGGCGTGACTCGAACCCGCGATTCGTTGGCCTGAGATCGCCATGACACTACAAGGTTTGTGAATGTTTGTCGCTGTCTTATTCTTACAGCACGTTACTTCGAACGAACATATAATGCAGAAGCCATCTAAAATGAGTGCTACAAGAGCAACAATTGCGGAAACATGTTGAACTAAATTTGAATTCATGCGAGAATAATTATACTTTGAAATCAGCAAAGAGCACAGACGTAAAAAAGGAAACGAATTTGAAACAAATCCTGTGCATTACGTTCGGAGTGACCTACGTATTTCATCTTGTTATCAGAGCCGGTCATCATTATCTCGTAAATCTGTATGGATATCATATCTTAAACTGGTTAGCATAGTGTAATGTTTTCTGTTTTTATTTGTTCCAAATTACGCTCTGCTTGTTCCACTTGTTTAATTCACGCGGGTTTTACTTACCCCGCTGCCACTGCAATTGGTTGTCGTGCCATTCGTACGAATGGGCACGTTTTTCTAAAACTACCCGTTGTTATAATATATTTTATTTAAAAAACTTGTACGTCATTATTAATAATCAGCATTTCAATCAAACAATTTGATATTTTATTTAAATGTACTCTAGTATAATTCAATTCAGCCTCTTTTTTTTTTTGTAAATCAGTTATGATCTTTATTCAAAATTTTCTAAAATTATTGAAATAGTTTTTTATTCTTTATACATCACCGATCTTCGCGCGCCCATCTTCTCGGGTGGAAGTAGCCACGAAGATTTTCTTTCTACGTATTTTGCCCGCTCCGATGTCCTAATACTCCTATCGCACGTCCTACGCCTGCAATATGGGACCTGCGCATCCCTACTCCGCGTAGCTGTTAACAATCTTACTTGATTCACCGACAAAAAAAATCCGACCATGAATAATGCTTTCTTTCTTTTTAGACTCGACCGACGCTATCTGCCTCGCATATCTATCAGATCCACGGCCCCCTTCTACTATGTCGTCATCTTACTTATTTTGCCTCGCCGGCGTCACTTAGATACAATCGCAATCTATTGTCTCTTCCCAATATAATACGAGTCCCAAATATTTCGACTATTTCGGTATGTCAAAATAATAAAACTGTTTATTTGTTAAAGACCTCAGGGTACCTGGTAATAGCACCGATAGAAATCCAAACCATGGAGTTTCCTTCCTACTCAAAGTGTGATGTTGAACGCGTACAGGGAACTCCGAAGCAAGGCCACCCAAGGGCCGAGCAGTGGGAGCGGCAACTTCCTTCTCAGCTCAGCGCTCGAGCCAAGGGCCGTCGCAAATTACACAAGTGAGAGGGGGCGGGGCGGGGCGGGGC